TAACCTTAATAATTTTTTATACTTGACACTAACTACCTCCTCCAAAACAAGGAAGAGTTAACATAATTTGTTCATAGTTGAAATTTACAATGTTTGAGGATTGGACTTTGTCGTGAGAGGAAATAGAAGGGTCTTTACAACAGAAACTTATGAGCAAAGATGGACTAGAAAACAAAAAGTTAAGGAAAAAAAAAAAAAGTTAAGGACTCAAAACTTAAAAGAGAAGGTATCAACATTAATATTTATCAAAAAAAAAAAAAGAAAGGTATCAACATTAATTACAGCTGGTACGACAGTGGGGACCCTTCATCCCTGTAACAATAATGTAACATCGTCCAATTAATATTTTGTTTAGCTCTCAACCAAGATTCCAGGAAACTTCGCTGTCTCAACCTGCCCCTGTTTGGGTTTCATATTACCATATTGGAATATCAGACCGTGCCACGCTCGCTCGGCTTCTCCCGAATCTGTGGATAATGACATTATTTTTTTTAAGGTCAAATGCCAATCCAATCTGGACAACTTTTATAAAATTAATAATTATAAAAGTTGAGTTGGGTCCCGGTGATGTTTTTTTTTTCCAAGTCCCCTTCCTTTTCTACATTATATTTAGTTTGAATGGAATAGGAGGAAATGAGGAGGAAAAGTATTTTATTAATTAAATTTTAAATATTATATTGTTATTAATTTTTTTAATTCAAATGTATTATTAGTATTATATGTAGTTTTTAAATTTTCTCTCTCTTTGTATTGTGAGACTGTCCCTCCCTCCCCTTGCAAGTTTTTAACTTTTTTGAGGATTAAGTTTTTTTTTTTTTTATTATTAGAACATGGGCAATTAGGAGAGGGAGAAAGGAAGGGGTGAGGTTTAAACCCCACATTTTAAGATAAAATGTCTTTTCATAGTATTTAAGTGATCACTTGAGTTATTTGGGTTTCTCAAAATTAAGTTATTTAATGTATTTAATAAAATTTAAAAATATTTATTTTTAAAGTGTTATTTATTTTTCATAAGTTTAAAATTTGATTAAAAAATTAATAAAATTAATTTTTTAAATAACTTTTAAGTAAAATTTGGAAAAGTTTATCTAAATTTTTTAGAACTTATTTAAAATCTATTTTAAAAAATTTTTAAATTTTTTTATAAAATTTTAAATTTATAAGAGATAAATAATATTTTTTAAAAATAAAATGTTTTTAAATTTTGTTGAATATCGTTCTTATCTTTACATTTCAGGTATTTAAAAATTCCAACTTAGTAAATGAGATGCCATGTTTTAAGAGTAAAACAACTTAGAAAATGCAATGTAAAGTTGTAAACACTAAATGCTTATATATCCAAAAGAAAAAGAAGAAGAAAAATTTTCCATGTGGTATGAATAAGAAAATTGCATCGGAAACAAAAGTCAACCATGGCCATAGGAAATGCAAAACTAATCCTTGTTTTAATGCTAAAATGACGAGAAGGAAGTAGCGTTGTATTTGCAACGCACCATTCAAAAGACCAGAATGACAATTTCCATAACTTAACATCATAACTTTCCTCAACTTAATTTAGAAGGTGTTCGACGGAATCTTTTTTTTTTTTTCTCTCTAATAAAAAGATGGTGTTTGGTAAAATTTAAAAATACATAAATTGTTAACAAATTAAAATGTTTTCACACAAAATTTTCAAAATTTATTTAAAATTTTAATTTAAAAATCAAAATTTAAATTTATAAAATATATATTTGTTTAAACTCCACCAAACAGTCTCTTATATAATGTATTATATAATGTAGTATGTTATGCAATAATGCTTTCAAATTTTCTCATGAAAATGGCCTACATAGGGAATCCAAGACGTGGAGCTTACTCCTTTCGGCATCTTCAATCAATTTAAATGGAAATTTGTTCTCCACTTCTTGGCACCAACAGTCCAACACTATATAGCTGGATTATTCTTGGTTTTTTTTGTTCGATCAAGTTTCTACTTTTCGTACTATATACAAAGAACATTGAGCAGACGTAGGCCCACAGTTGTTCTATTCCTGTACTTAGACAAGATTGTGCCCTCTTTGGCCCTTTATGTTTGAAAAAGAAGTTACCTTGCTTCATGACTTCTTGATACTCTGCTGTTCCAAAACCAAACACGTTGTAAACTAGTAATGGTTACTACATTGAAATAAGGGCACGAATACCAAAATTGATAAGTGGGTTCATCTTGCAAGTGTCAGTCATGCCTCCTAGCCAAAACCTCATTAAAAAACGGGCATGATTATTTTCATGAATCACACTTCATCTTTCAAAAAAAAAAGTTTTCAAATTCTCTGTCTCTCTCCCAACATAAAAGAAGAACAAAAAGAAAAGAAAAAAAATTAAAAGGGAAAAGAAAATGAATAAATGGGTCAGCAAAGTAGCCCATTTGCTTTAAAAGCTGTTAAGGCCCATTATTTGCAACATACATGGGCTTAAGAAATAAGAAATTGGTAATGGGCTACTAAGAAATGGCCACTTCATTTGGGCCCAATCAAACTTATTATTATTATTATTATTGTTTAGTACATTTCATTATAACTTATAAAAGAAAAGATAATCATCTCTTATTCTTAAATTTATCTCCATTCCTCATGACTCAAACTTGAGATTTTTAACTTACAATCTTAAGTTTTTAATCGTTAAATCATCCTAATGAGGTTGTTATTATTATTATTATTTACAAAAAAATATATTGTAATCTTCCTGTAACAAACTATAAAATAAAGACCATTAAAAGGGAGAAAGGAGGATTTCTTTTGATAGCTTGATTTTGCAGTCTATCGTAAGACAAACTATAAAACAAAACACCTTATTATTTATATAAATAAATAAATTATTTTACAATTCAAATTACACAATAAACTCTTTAATATTGAGGCTTTTCCTTACTAATCATTCATATATTTTACACTTAAAATTGCAAAATTAGATATTATTCAACCATTTTTTCGTATTAATCTTTCGATATCCAGTAACCACATAAAATTTAATTAATTTAAAATCGAGTTAAATTGGATCCCATTAAAAAGAGCTCTCCCAATATTTATTTCTCCATTCATAAATTTCAAACTCAAAACCTTGTTTATTTAAAAAGAACTAATTTCCTTCCAATAAGGTGAACAGGTTTGTTGGTTATTCAACCATTTTTGTTCGCTTTACTAAACCGCTTAGCAACACTCCCTGTTGTGGCTCATTGGTGGCTACTGCAGTTCAAAATAACTATAGGTAGGATGCACCCCGATTAGTGGTTGAACATTACCAAATAGTAAGTTACTACCTTCTAACTCCTAATTTTTATTGCCTAAAAAAAAAAAAAAAAAAAAACGCTTAGCAATTCAAATTTTTTTTCTTTTTTAAAAAACACTGATAAATAAGAAATGCGATTAACCATTTATCAATCTCACGGACGATATCGTGCCACGCTAGAAAGCCTAAAACAATCCGACGGCCAACAGGCCTTGGCCGTTTAGGACTTTTGGTTGGGTATGTTAAGGGGATTGCGCCATTGTCTTTCCCTCTCTAACTTCGCACTCAAAACGCGCTTTTTCTTCCTCCTCTAGGGTTCCAATCCCTCTTCGCAAGGTATTCTCCAAACCCTTTCGTTCCTCTCTTACTCCAACTTTCTTTCCCGTCTGTTTGGTTGCCGAGAAAATAAGCAAGCAACCCTCAGATAGCGTTCTCTATGGCACCTTTGCTATCGATTGAAGTACAAGTTGTGTTTGTTGACTACTCTGTAGTTCCTGTTTAGTTTAATTTCTGATCACTTGAGTACTTAATGCTTTACTGTATTTCGTCTTTGATCTCTCCATTCCAGTATTTGGTTCGGGAAGCATTGGATGCTCTTGATTTTAATTTGTTGTAGTTTTGCTTAATTTATTTTTATTATTAAGGTTTCTGTGGAGATAATCTGCTCAAGTTCTGTGAAGATGAGGTCCATATTTGTGGGGAACTTTGAGTACGAGACTCGCCAGTCTGAGTTAGAACGTCTGTTCTCCAAGTACGGGAGGATCGAGCGTCTCGATATGAAATCTGGTATAGTTTTATCTATATAGTTAGTGTAACCTTGTGTTTCAGGTGTATTTCAAATTTAGGATGATATATTGTTCTTGTAGTTTTCTATTTTGATAAATTAATCTTCGAATTCCTGAGCTTTAGCCTGTTCAAATTGGCAATAGCGTAGGTTAACTGCTTGTATTCCTATTTTTCGAGATTTTTTTCCCTCGATCGAATACGTCCTTTCCTGTTCTCCCTCTTTTTCCCCTTGCACTAATTTAGGGTTTTTCTTTTGCCCTACTAGCAAAGTTGTCTATTACCATTGCTCTTTTTTACTTTTGTTACATTTTACTAGTTATGGTTGAGTGGAATACAAGGGCATTTAAGGATGATGAGTTGGCTTCCTCCAATTAGATATTGGAAACATGGCAACCATGATGCCATGTGGTCCAATTATCTATCCAGGAAGTAAATAAAATGGCAAGGACAAATTTTGCAATTTTTCTGTCCATATTGAGTGTTTGTTTTTACGCAGGAACTACTAATGGAAAATGAGCTTCCTGCTCTCCCTCTACTCACTGATGGCATCACCTGCTTTTTCTTCACTCGATCATCTGTCACTCACTCACCTCACTTCACTGCATGGTGGGGGATCGTTCAATTTTTCATCTCATGCCTAGCACCACTGATTCTAGAGGAATTACTGAAATCTGTTGTGCCATGCCTTCCATTAATGAACTGCTGTCTGACTGGTGAAGCATACTTTTGCAATGATGTCTCAGACCTCAAACCTTGGATTTTAACCTTTAACATGCTACCTTCATGATTTAGTTCATCATGCAACACTTCTTCATCATTATGTTCTTCAGCCTTCATATATATGCAGGTGTTGTATTTTTCTTTTTAGTTGTGGTGAAATAACTAATCCTGTGATATGGATGACGTGCTGCAGTATGTTGTAAGACCCTTGTCATAAGTTGTTATTTCTGCCTCTTATTTTAGTTTTCATTTTGCAGGCTTTGCTTTTGTCTATTTTGTGGATGATCGTGATGCTGAAGTTGCCATTCGTGAGCTGGATAATGTTCCATTCGGTTATGATCGGCGTCGACTGTCTGTGGAGTGGGCCAGGGTATGTTGTGGATTGTTTTTAAAATTGGTTGTTCTAATACTTCTTATTTTTGTTTCATTGAGTTTATAGAAACCTTGTAGATTTAGTTCTGAAGGGTGCACAATCAAATTCTTATCTGATCTAAAAGGGTGTGCTTTTTTATTGTCAGGGCGAACGTGGTAGGCATCATGATGATTCTAGATCAACAACTAATCAGAGACCAACCAAAACCTTGTTTGTGATAAACTTTGATCCTATTCGTACAAGAGAACGCGATATACACAGGCACTTTGAGCCATATGGAAAGGTTCTTAATGTTCGAATTAGGCGAAACTTTGCATTTGTGCAGTTTGCAACACAAGAGGATGCCACTAAAGCCCTTGAGGCTACACAGAGGAGGTTGCAATGCGGCTATTTGTTTCTGGACTTTTTCTTAATTTGGTTTCATGATCATGATGGTATTTCTCCTCCATGATTTTGCAGCAAGTTATTGGACAGAATGGTTTCTGTTGAGTATGCTTTAAGGGATGATGATGAGATGGACGAGAGACATGATAGCCCCAGAAGAGGAAATTATGGTAGGCATGGAATTAGTCCATATGGAAGGTCTCCAAGTCCATACCATAGGCGACCAAGTCCTGATTATGGCTGTGCACGGAGTCCTGCTTATGATCGGTACAATGGTGCTGCACCTGCATATGAGAGGCACAGGAGTCCTGACCATGGGAGGCAAAGGAGTCCTGAGCATGTTAGATACCGCAGGTAGTGATTTGAAGCCAAGTATTGTTTTTGATAGAAAATCTCTTTCTCATGAAGATCATCTTCTGGCCTGCATCTCTTTTAATTTTATTTAACAGCCGATCACCAATACCACGGTCAAGAATCTGATTGGTTATTATAATCAAACCTGATGAGGGATGGGCTCTCAGCACAGGGTTTTCAAAATCAAAGGATATGCGTGGCTCTTTGCATAAGTGTTATATCCATTGTGTAGATAATCAGAATTTTCTTCTTTTTAGCATAGCTCTTTAAACTTGGAGATCCTCATATATAAGAAATGGTCAATATCTGTCTATATTTTCTGATGGGATTTACAGATTAATCTATTTGGTATATTTGTATGCACTAGGGAAGAAGTTATTTACATTAAAAGCTGTATGTTTCTTTAATCAAGTTCTACCTTTTTATTGATAATTAATGGAGTGATATTTTGCATGACTGACTGATAATCCCTGTTTTTGAAGGAGGATCCAATAGTTTCATTAAAAATAGCCTTTCCTTGTGATGACTCAAGACAAGGACAAATGGGATCTTTCACTCAACTAAATAAGTACAAAGAAGAAATCAACCTGAGGATTTGCTTAGCTCTTGTTCAATTGCCTGCTGGAGCCAGACCTCCGCATCCTGCATTATTCCAGGGCTTAGCCTCACCATGAGGATGCAGAACTCAGTCTGGTTAAGTGCTCCATCTCCATCGAGGTCACCTTCTCTTACCATCTCTTCTGACTCCTCTTTGCTCATCCCTTCCATACCTAAAAGAGCTGAATTTTTCATCAGACTATCCGGTGTTATCAACCCTCTTCCTTGATCAGCCAGAAGCCGAAACCCTCCACACAATTCCGACACAAACGCTTCAGCATCCAGCTTCTCGGCCATCACCGGTAACAAGTCCTCATACTCTATCTCCGTTGGAGTGCTTGTCCCACTCCTCTGATTCTCCATTGATTGACCAAGGAAGCCCTCCTACCCTCAATCAACCAAAGGCAGATGAACATATTTCCATGTGAGAACTAGCGAACCCCTTTATATAAGCATGAAATGTGTCGCCACGTTTCTGAAAGATGTGGTGATGTGACCCTCGTTGGTACCCATCAAACATATTAAAACTATAATCAGAGCGCGGATAGGGAAATGGACGGGTGTGATTGGTGAGGGTGAAGGACGTGTGCAAGTATTCGAAGGTGGATTCGACCGCTTGATAATTAAATCCTTTTGTTGTTATTTTTAATACGAAATAGCGGGGTTTCTAGGAAGGTGCATTTGGAAATGGAGCAGTGCGAGAGAAATATCATATGATATCATTGATAAACGTAATCTTCTTCTATATTCTTGTTGGTGGAAGGAATTGCTTGAGTTGTCCGGTGTTGGCTTTCTGTGAAGGTTCCTATTCTCTATTCCTGATTTTATCATTTAGGCATTTTGGCCATTGCCTGTCTTCGAAAAAAAGGAGGGGGGTGCATTTTGGATTCTTCCATATTTTGTTTTACTGTATGTAATATCGACCGTCCAAATTCTAATTAACCTATACGAACCAACTGATTCATGACATGCAAAGCTTTAAATTTCCATTTGTTTGGATTAATCCACCTTAAAATGCTTTGGTGTGTGCTTAAGATTGTTTGTGAAAAAATTAGTGTCAAAATGTGTATAAATTGATCTAAAAATACCTTAATTTTTTTTTTTTTAAAAAAAAAACTTTAAATTTCATTTAGTCCTTGGTAGATATTTGTTTTCGCCCCATAAAAAGTAAGTAATGGAAATATGGAATCCTGGTCCAGACCAAAAAACAAGTTTCTGCAGAGACAATGAAGAATGAAGGAAGAAATGGCCAAACTGCCAAAGGAGGTGCTTTCTTATGGGATTTAGTGCCCGTTTGGTTTTTAAGTACCCACTTGGTGTGATTAAAGCTTTTAATAAAAGTTTTATCGGAGAGTTTGGTGTGATTGGAGTTTTTGACGAAAGTTCTATTAAAAAGAAATTATTATAAAAGTATTATTTTCGTAAATAAAAAAATAAGGATAAAATAATAATAATATATTTAATTTCATTAAAACCCCAATGAGAAATTTCAATAAAAATACCAATTCGATATTTTTAAAATTTACAATGAAATAGATAAAATATTAATTTGTAAAAAATTATAACATTTTTCACAAATTATAATATTTGATGCAATTAAAACTTTTAAAATTTAAAATAACTTCTCAAAAACTATAACAAATATATCCTTAATTAGGAAGGACCCATTTTGTTGAGGGTCTATTTGTCTTTCAATCTTTCATGGAGCATGTGGAAAAGAGCCAATTTTCTGTTAGGTGATTGCAGACAATTATAATAGGGAGTTTAGATCCATCTGTCATCCTTACCAATAATTTTGCATAGGATTGTGACCACTCTGGCAGGAATAAGGCTGTTCTTATTGTAAACTATGTTAGCTCAACATCTTTGGTTGCCTCTAACTCGTGAAGTCACATCCCACAACTTTAGTCACGGGGACCTCGATGTGTTAGTAAAATTCTATCATATCCATCACCTTTGTTATTGATGTAATTGCTTAATACAAACCCTAGGGGTTGAAATTACTAATAAATAAGATTTATTAGTAACGAAATGTATTTCCTATTACATGTAAGGTTTAAGATTTAAGTTTTAATATTAATATTAAAAAAATTAATTTTTTAAATACATCAAATTAATATAAGAGTATGTTATTAAAATTGTTTGAAAAAAAAAATAATCTTAAAATATAAAAAAATTGACTCAAATAATACCAAAAGAAACCTAATACCACAAGAGATGGTTTTATTGTATTAGGAACCGAACAGTTTTATAAGCCTTGACAATCAATATAATTTAAAGTTTTCGTGACTTTTTTTTTAACAAATTTATAAGTAATCGGGTTCAAATTGTTGCCTAAAAAAAGAGATAAATGCATTTAATAGGTGATCTGAGATCACTGGCCGAAGGCCTAGTGCGTTTACAATGGAGTTTAAGAAACCCTAAATACCAATATTTCATTAAAATTAAATTTTGCCGTACAATTTGCATAAACAGAAATGTGAGAAATTGACTAAATTGCTATATTTGCTACCAATTTTGCTTGGAAATCTTGAATTTTTCAAGCACTGTTTTCCCCTCCTTGTATTTCTGTGATTCCTCAAACGCATAAACATATTTCCAACCCAACACCTCCCTGCAATCGGAGCAGTAAACGTCGACCACCGTGTGGAGACCGGTAAGCAGCATCCGCTCCTCCTCCGGACCGTCGGTGACGTTGGTCACGTGGCTGAAGAGGAAAGCCCTGCCGTTGGTTGCCTACACAAATTAAAGCCCTTTCCAATATAAAAATCCATACCCAATTCTTCAAAAATCTATCATAAAATTATTGAAGTTTCACCTGAAAGTCTTTAGAAACAATATCGTCGTGACGGGACACAATATTTCCACACTTGTGGCAGCAATACTGCCGCAGCAGGGCCGCCGCCGCCGTATCCGCCATTGAGTCAACGGAATCCAGGCTGCTCTGCATACACTGTACAGCTCCCCCGATTTCCGTTTAGAGATGACCAATTCCAGGAAACATGAGAATTTTATAATTGGGAAATATTATTATATGATGCGACTTGGAAATTTTGGATGGTCGATTGAGTGAAGGCTCTAAACACGGAATTAAAAAATCAAGAAAAACCGTAAGGGGTTGGAATTTTTTATTAAGACCGTACTGGTAAACAAGTCATATAATCCAAACGGCAACTATTTGGGAAAAGGAAGCGCACAGTGTAACATGGATTTGAATCTCTTAATTTTGATCCTAAGTAATGGTTTCTAAACTAACTCGTTACCACATATTATTTACATTTTTTAAAAAGTTACTTAAATAGTTAAAGACTTGGTATTTTAAATTAGAGATATCTTGAATTAAGGACTTGTTTAGTATAGTAATTTAGAGTTTGTGATTAATGATTTTGTTCAAATTGTTAAAAATAAATATTTAGTAAATTTATTTATTTCAAAATTACTATAAACTAGTAGTTTGATAAAATTTTTTTATTTAACAATTTGTGATTAGTAAATATCAATTAATGTCTAAACTGCTAACGAAGGTAATTTTTTTTTAACCAAATGGTTAATGGATTGGAATTTTCTAATTTTATTGATAATTTCTCAATAATAAAGATAAAATGATAAATAAAAAATTTCAATCCACTAATTAGTATTTATCTAATTAGTTTTAACTTTATTTTTTATTTTAATAATATTAAGTAATTATTATATTTTTATTTTTACATTAATTTATCAAAAAAATATTAACTTAATAAATAAATTTTGGGTAAATAGACAAAAAGATTAATTTTTTTACTTTATTTAAAACTAATATAAATTTTTTTATTAAAAATAAAAATTAGTATATGATTATACTATTATAATTTATTTATTATTATTATAAAATTAATAATTTTAATAATAAAATATATTAAAAGAAAAAAATACACTTAATTGTTTTTAAATATGGTTTTATTAATTATTTAATTTTAAACAATAATAGTTAACTATTATATAATTAAATAATTATATTAATCGAATCTATTATCCGTTACTTATTTTTCGCTATTCACCACTCACTATCTGTTAATCGAATTTATTATCTATTATCCGTTACTCATTTTTCGCTATCCATCACTCACTATCTGTTACCTGCTATCCATTACCACTATTATTATCTGTTATCTACTACTTATTATCTTTCAAATTTTAATCGCTATACCAAACAATTCTAAGAAGAGATGAATTTAGAAAAAAAAAGACAAAATTATCCTTCCTATGTATTAATTCCTTTTATTTATTATTTATCCATGATATGCATAATTTAAATAATTTATTTATTTAATTAATTTATTTAATATTATGTGAGGTCGTTGAAATACACAATATAATTTTAGCACTATGCTTATATTAAAAATTTAGGACTCAGAATTATCTCCTAAAATATTGTACATTTTTATTATATTTTAGTATATTTGAAAGAAGTTTATGGGGAGGAAAATTTATTTAGAAAAGCAGTCATATCTTGGGACGTAAGCAAGGATCAAGTATTTAATTCAATACAAAATCTAAGCAACTTGGAGATAAATAAGTATTTAAAATAAAGCTCATTCTTAGATAAATAATTGAAAAGTTAGGTGAAATAACGAATTTTGTTTTGTTTATTTTAGATTGTATCGAAATAGAAAATCTTTTACCATGTTTCCTTTGCAGTTTCCATGCAACTCAAATTCAAAATTAATACTTATTTACTTTTTTTTTTTTGTTTACTAAAACAAAATCACAAAGTTGTTGGTAATATTTTTATACTTTTATATCTCATAAACATTTTTTTTATCTTAATTGTATGATGGGAGTTAACTATTTTTTATCTTTTATTCTACTCTATTTGCATGCTATAACATTTATCTTTTATTCCATCCCAACACCTTCCCACAGTCGCTGCAGTATACATCAACCACCGTGTAGAAACCTGTAACCAGCTGCCGTTCCACCTTCCCACCGTGGGTCACGTTTGTCACATGGCTGAAAAGGAAGGCCCTGCCCTTGTATGACTACCAAATTAAGCAAATTCAAAACCGAAATTAATCACAAAAACCCCCAATTAACTCGTAAGAGATGCGAAACTGAAAGAATTTAGATCGGTACGGATGACTAAAGTTATAGAAGATTATATATCTTTAAGAATATTGATTTTATTTAATTTAATTGGTAAAAATGATTAATAATTATAAATTTTAATTAATAATTGATA